CTGGAGGCTCCCAGAGGCCCCATGAGAGTCCATGATCCCGACAGATTTCGATGCGTGCGTTTACCGTCGCGCTACAACTGGGAAGACGGAAAACTAAGACGCCGTCCAGCTGTGGATTGCCCACGGCCCACGCTGCTTTATCTGGGCTCAAGTGGTTCAAGATGCCCCCTCCTCCTCCTTCATCCTCCTCCTCCTCCTCCTACTCCCCCTCGTCATCTTCCTCCATCTCCCCCGCCGTATGATGCGTCACTGGCAGCAGCCGCTGGTGCGCGCGCTGCGGACTGCGAGATCGGCGGAGGGGCTAGGGGCACGGCAATGAGGGCGGCCTACTGTACTCAGGACGCCTGGCCGAGGGCCTGCCCCCACACCGCGTCGACGTCGTCGCCCGAGTCCTCGGCGGCGGGGTCGCTGGACTCGGAGTCGTCGGAGACAAAGCTGGACGATTTCTCGGACTCTGGCTCACCCTCGGGCGCAAGCGCAGGGCTGGAGGGGACCATGTAGGCGCTCATCCCGTGCGCCGCGACCAGCGCGGAGGCGAAGGCTGTGGCGCCGTAGCAGGTCGCCTCGAAGGCGTTGCCCGCGAGCGAGCGGAGCAGGGAGTCCTTGTGCTGACGCAACGTGTCCACATCGCGGTAGAAGATACTCTGGAACTGGAGGCACTCCTCGCCCGACAAGAGCCTGGCCCGCTTGGCGACGTAGCGCCGGCACCGAGGGGCAATTGTGCCCACGTATGTGTTGGTGCTCGTCGAACGTGTTATGCCCTGGCTCACCTCGACGAACACGTCGCTTTCCGGCATCGGGTAGGCGTCGACGCCATGGAAGGTCAAGATGTCGAGCTCGCGGGGGCAGACCGCGCCCAGCATCGGGTTGTTCTCGAACTCAGCGTCGGTAGGGCGCCGAGCAGCATCCCTGTTGCGCCCCGCCTTCAGGAAGGCGGCCTCGTGCGCGGCCCTCCACGTCAGCTCCTCGCCAGTCTCGCCATCGTGCCGCTTGCGCTTCAACTGAGACCTCTTGTAGCACCTGCCCATGACGGCCGAGTCGTCCAGGAGGTAATCGTCGACCGGGACGCGCTTGGAGCCCACGAGGCGATTCATGATGTCGAAGATCTTGCAGTCGGCGTCATCGACGGACAATCCCCTGGCCGCGAGCTGCTGCAGGGGCATGGACGGGAAGTACAAGCGAGGCCTGGACTGCGCCATCCCGAACATGAGAGGGTTCAGCTCGAACGTCGGCGACCAGAACCCGCGGTAGGCCAGGAAGGAGCGCGCAGCCGTCAAGTTGCCCGGCCCTGAGGGGCGTCCCTGACGGTCACGCGGCGGCGCCTGGAGGCGCGGCACGTTCTCGCCGATCATGAAACTCATCGTGCCCTTGTTCTTGGCGGCGAAGGCGCACACGCCGTTGAAGACCTCTCCCGTGTCCAACCGCCCGTCCAGGACGCACGAGCGATTGCCTTCCGAGCTGGAGGCCTCGTTCAGGTCCGAGACGCTGATGCAGGGAAAGCCCTGCGAGAAGACGTCGACATCTTGGCCGCGCACGTCTACGTCGGCCTTCGTCACCACATCGTATGCTCGATCAGCGCCGAGCCGCCTGGCGTCCGTGAAGAGCGCCTTGAGCTCGAACATCTTGAGCAGGAACTGTTGCTTGGCCTTGTCCTTCTCGCACGAGAAGACGTGCTCGATCTTCACCTGGAAGCCGAAGTCCTCCTCCACTGCCTCTGCGAAGCCAGCCCACACCAAGAGCGGGCAGTCGGTGCCGCTGCACGCCGTCGCAACGCGGATGGTGCGTTGCTTGACCTGGGTGAGCCAGACGCACAGGTCATCCTTCTCGGCCTGCGACGAACGCTGGAAGAACCGCTTGAACAACTGCTTGTACAGGCCGGGCCCAACCTGCAACGGCTGGTCGTTGAGGCGGTCCGCATCTGCAACGACGGGTCGCATCACCTCCGTCGGCGGCAAGAGGCCAGTCTTCCACATCTCGAGGAGGGCTTGGCCGTTCATGGGCCACGTTCAATAGAAGGCACGATCTCAATTCGGACTCAGCACCCGCCTCGCTCTGGCCAAAACGGCTGCGGGAACAGGTTGGAGGGGCGAGGGGGCAGGGCAACGAGGAGGGGGGAAGCGAGGAGGGGGGGGGGTCTGCCGATCCAGCGGCACAGGATCCTGTCCAGCGGCCCCCCCCACCCCACCTGGCCCAGAGACTGCGCGCCCTGGCGCAGGCGGAGAAGGGCGGAGGATGAGGGGGTTGGGCCCCCCAAAAGAGGCACACTCATCATATGCTTTGCGCCTCTTTGGACGGCCCTCTTGGGGCCCTCTTGGAGCCTTGTCGGGGCCCTCGCGAGCCTGTTACAGGGGGCGCCCGAAGCTTTCCGAATCGCCGAAGAGCCCCACCAGGGAGTCCAAGAAGGCGCCAATGAGGTTCCGAAGAGGTCGGGATGGAGGGCAGGAGAGAGGAGAAGGAGCCGCCACTGGAACTGGAACGCCATCGGCGGTGCCGCTGTGCGACGCCCTGCCCCCCCCCTCACGCCGGCGCCCGCCCGGGGTCTGGAATGGCGCCCAATCAGGGACGTCGGGCGGCGCACACGGGTCTTGGAGGGTCCAGATTGGGCCCAGGAGGCGGCCTGGGGGCGGCGGGCGCGGCACTCCGGCGCCCCGCGCCCAAGCGCCACATGGGCGGATGTGGCACTCCGGCGCCCCGCGCCCAAGCGCCACATGGGCAGCGGGCCTGGCCACGGAGGGCGCGGTTAGCCGGGCGGGGGGGGGGGGAACTCTAAGGAGGTACATGTGTGGGGGGTCGCACGGCCAAGTGCCACATGTGGCACTTGGCCCAGGATGAGTGATGTGGCACTCCGCCGGGCCCAACCAAGTGCCACATGTGGCACTTGGCGAGGGCCTGGTGGAGTGCCACACCCAACCTCATCCTGCCTGTCCCAGGCCCATCCAGCGCCCTCCCTGGCCCCGACATGTCGCAAGAGGGCTCCAAGACTGTGCCGAGCGGGTCCCAAGATCCAAGATGGGTTCGACGTGTAGGAGAGATCACTGAAAGCATAGCGAGCAAACGGGCGCGGGGTGGGGCCGCTCGGCGGGGCCGCCGGGATTGCCTGCGTGGGCCGGGAGGGGCGGTCCGACTGGTGACCTGCTCGGTCCCAAGCAGTTCGGTCCAAGCAGTTTCGCGTCGCGCAGGCTGCGCGGAGGCCGCGGGCCCCGGGGCCCCAGCGCCAGCGCGATGGCGGTGATCCTCGCCCCGCCGCTGCTGACTCCCCGCAGCGAGGATCGGGAAGCCATGCAGGTCGAAGACGTCTTCGGCGAGTGGCGGCGGGAGCTCGACCGCGAGCAGATGGAGACGGCCCGGATGGACACCGAGGACAACCCCGTTATCGGCGGTCCGTCGTCTCGCCAGCCTGAAACGCGCCCCTGCCACGTGAACGCCAGCCCTGCCCGTTTCCAGGTCGGAGTCTGGCCATCGGCCCCGACCAGGAGACAGGCCAGAGCTGGCATTCCTGCGGCGGGAATGCGATTCAGGCTGGTGACATCTTCATTTATCTGGGGCCTCCTGGCGAGCCCTGCCCCTCGCATCTTCGACGGGGAGAGAGACCCCCTGACCTTCCCCGACAACGACGGCGAGGTTGAGTTCGACCCCGCTGCCCCCGTCGACGACCCCATCGACTCCGACCCTGTCGACTACCTCCTCGCCGTGCTCGACTGAGCGCCGTAGTGCTAGCTGTGCTGGGGCCTGCTATATGCGACTGCGCGCGACGCCGCGACGACAAAAAAAACGATTCCAACATTCCGGCGACGAAATCCTCGAAGCACATTTGGATTATCCGCACCCACGGAGCGACATCGCCGCAGAAACAAAACACAGACCGAGCACCAGCCTGATCGTTTGGAATCAAGTGGTCATGAAATCCTCGGAGCCCCCCTATCTTTCTCTATCGTTCTCGTTTTCTCTCTCTATATATCTCTCTCTCTCTCTCTCTCTCTCTCTCTCTCTCTCTCTCTCTCTCTCTCACTCCCTCTCTCTCTCTCTCTCTGAGTCGCTTCCCCCATCTGCCCCATTCTCTCTCTATCTCTGCCTTTCTTTCTCTCTGGCTCTTGGCCCCCTGCTGCCTCCGCCATCGGATGCAAAGCCTTGTTCCCTTGGAGTTCTTGGGCACCAACCTCTTGAGCCTGAGCCCCCTCCCCTTGGACTTTCAAGTAAGCGGCCGCCGCAGCAGGCGGGGCCCGCCGTTGCCATCCTGCCTCTCTCGGGCGCCCCTCGCCCCCACGCCGCCTCCACCTCTCCTCTTCTTGTCGCTGTTGATGTTGATGACGATGATGGCACACAGCAGGCAAGCAAGTAAGCAAACAAGCACGCACGCGCGCACGCACGCACGCACGCACGCACGCACGCACGCACGCAAGCAAGCAAGCAAGGGGGCATGTTCGCATTTTCGCAGAAAACGCCACTCCCAGCGATAGTTTTGAAAAAGTGAATTGACGCAAGCGCCTTTTTTTCAAAACCCTCGCTGGGAGTGGCGTTTTCTGCACTTCGCGCCGTTTCGGCCTTCAGACGGCAAGCAAACAAACAAACACACAAACATAACATAACCGAACAACCAACCTATCAATCAATCAAACAACGAATCAACCAAACAAACAAACAAACGAACAAACAAACAAACACGGGGGAGATTAAGGGGCTGAGATTGTGACGGCTAAGGGGTGAGATTGGGAGCGCCAGTATCTCAACAGCACACTTCGTCGAGACGGGCCAGTGCACTGCCCTGCGACGCTGTCCAGCGCATCGCCCCTCGACGCAAGTCGGAGCTCATGAGGAGGAGGAGGAGGAGGAGGAGGAGGAGGAGGAGACAGACTTACTCTTCCTTCTTTGATCTGATCTGCTACTCCTATGCCCCCCCTCTTCCATTGCCCGCTAGCCCCGAGCTCCTCCGAGGTGGCCCGAAACCCCCTCCCCCGAGCTCCGATGTATGCGGACGCGGCGGCAGCGGGCTGCGGCGGGCTCTAAGCAAGGCCCGCCGGCTTCCGAGGCCTCATGCCATGCCGCGTCTTCAAATTATATGCACTCTCAGCGTGCTCCTTCTCAGTCGAGGATTCGGCGAGCCATCGCAACAAGTCTGCCCTGACCTCGGGCGTGTCGATGACGCCCCAGAGCCAGCATTCGCACCTGCGGTGCGTCGCACAGCGCGCCTTGATGTTAGTGCGCTCATCCGCCCCGGCGCCGCTGCCCAGCCCAGACATAAGATGGCCCAAGTGGCGGCCCGTGTCCAGGCAATGCACATGCCCGCCAGCTCGGACCTCGACCCTGGGCAGCGCGCCAGGGGCCAGGGGGCCCCCCACAGGAGGTGTGTCGTCGCCCCCTCCGTCGCCGCCAGCCTCCTCGCTCTCTTCGCCATCCTCCTCGATCTCGCCATCCTCCTCGCCGTCGTCAGCGCCGCAGCCATGCCCCCCAGCTGCTGCCGCTGCTGTTGCAACCTCCGCCTCCTCATCCTCAGCGCGCCTCAACTCATCTCTCATTACGATGCCCATCTCCAGCACGAAATCCCGGGGCAGGGCAAGCTCAACCCCCAAACCGTCGAGCGCCCCCAGGCCCTGGCCGGCGCCGGAGGGGAGGCCAAGCGCGGCAGCCACCTCGCGCAGCAGGGCGTCGTCCGCGGCTGCAGCGGGGGCAGCAGCGACAGGACCCGCGAGCGGCTTGGCCTGGGGAGGGGCGCGGGGAGAGGGGGGGGTGGGCAGGGGGATGCAACGATAAGGATGCGCGGCACGGATGCAAGAATCCCTAAACCGCTATCCTATATGAAATTTTCAAGTTGCCAGAGAGGCAAGGATGCAAAGGGCGCCCTCGAGGTGGCGAAGCATCCTTATCATCACTCACTAATCATGTCACCCGAGGAGGTCCCCAACTCATTTCCGAGCAGGTCCCCGACCAACGAGGATGAGAGAGGGGGTGCTTAGAGAGTGGGGAGGGCGGGGAAGCGAAGGGGGGCGGAAGGGGGAAGACGATGATTGAGGCTCAGGCGACGTGCAGTTTGGTATTGTTTAAGATGAATCGTTCTCTGCAGGGCGCCACTGATGCTGGCAAGGCCGTTTTGCCCCAGAAACGAGGACAGGAAGAGGGTGCAGGACAGGGCGGCAGACGAGAGGTGGAGGAGGCGAACGAAGGCCAGACGAGGAGGAGGATCTCTGACCTCCCCCACCTCCTTCAAGCACCTCCGAGTGAATCCGGCCAACCCCGAATATGTCCAAGTCGACTGCGTCCAGAATGTCCCGGGGCCCTTTCGGAACCCCCTGGGGGCTCATTGGGGGGCCTTCCGGATCCTCAAGCACGAAGGGCAAAATCGACAGCCCCTGAGTTGCCCCAGCACCTGGCCTTCCTGGGGCGCGGCCGGGAGTCGTCGTCGAACACGTCGGACAAGTCAGAAAATCCCGCGGCGCCTGCCGGTAGCGCCACGAGCGCGGCATCGCCGCCTCGGCCGCGGCCGCGGCCTCGACCGCTGCCTCGACCACGGCCGCCGTCGCCAGCAAGAGCTCCAGGGTCCCGCCCACGCCCTCGCCCTCGGAGACCTGCGCCTCCAGGTCGGCCTGCCCACATGTCATCGAACTCTGCCACGACCCCTTTGGTGACGACGATGTCCAGCTCGACGTCGTCGAAATCCAGATGGAGGGCCTTCATGGTTCGCACCTGCTGGCCAGGCATGCTATTCACGATCATCTCGGCGAACTCCTCCTCCGAGAAATGATTCAGTTGGCCCACGTGCTGTCGACGCAAGGGCGGCCTCAGACTGGCTGCATCTGCTGGGGCGACGCGTTGGTCGCGATGCAAAATGAACTTCATTCCAGCCAGGCCATCATCCGGCATAGGCGGGTTCAGCAGGGTGGTCAAAGCGAACGTCTGCGCTGCCGGATGCGGACCATACCGCCCCGTCATAAGGCAGAACCAGACGAAAATACCGATGCCATCTCCATCCCCTTCTGGGCGCACCTCGAACATCAGAAGGGCGTCCGAATCTGCCAATCTTTTTGCCGTGCCGAAACAACTTGCGATCTCGGTGAGGTAGGCTACGATGCGAGTGTACACTGCGAACGTGTCTGGAGCGGTTGTCGTAGCACACATTGGCCCACAGCACTTCGGATATTCAACGTCACCGGGGAAGTCAAGCACGTGCTGGCGCAGGGCGAAGGGGTCAACCGAGCTCTTGAACTCGCTCGCAAGCGCCTTGAAGGATGCGCTCGTCGGCGGGCGTCGACCCGGGGTCGAAGGCGGCGCCTTCACGCGTTTGAAATGTTGCACGGCGGCAACATTCAACGGGAAGGGGTCGCGCGGGCCCAGCCCTGGCCCAGGGGGCGCCGGAGCAGGCGAGGCCACGCCGCTCAGCGCCAGCGCGCGCAGCTGCGACTGCGGGCCCTCGCAGCCGATGTACTGGGTCAGCGCAGTCGGCGCTGAGGAGTGGACTGCGTGGGCGCCAGGTGGAGCTCTGCAACAATGACAACGGCCTTCGGGTGCGACTGCGAGAACCCCGGCAGCTGGAACAGCGGGCTGTGGCGGTGCATCTGGAACAAGCGGCGGCGGCACCCCCAATCCCAACTGAACGCGCCGCCGCAAGGCCTTGGACTCAACTGCTGAGTTCGCTGCCCGAGCCTCGAACCGGCCGCGGTCCGCGGCAGACAGGTTGTCCCACTCCCTGCTGACCTCCTGGGGCGCAGGGGCGAATGTGCAATTTCCTCCGCCTTCTCCTCCCCGTCCTCCAGGGCGGGCGAAATCCAGAATGGCCCGAACGACTCACCTTCTGATGCGAGTCGTTCGGGCCCTTCCCCCTTCCTCTCCTCCTTCATCCTCCCCATTGCCGCGGCTAAAACCAAGTTTGAGGGTCCTCCTGGAACTTCGAGGAGAATCCAGTCACGGCCACGAGGAGGCCCCAGGGGGCCCAGAAGGGCCCCATCCTGGAAATCATCACACTTCGCAATCCCTGTCCCCGAAGAAAGGAGGGTGCTCTCGACTGGCGCGAGAGGTCAAGAACCGACGGCGAGTCCGCATGGCACTGCTCGCTGGCGCGGTGGAAGAGGCGGCCGGCCGCCCTGTCCCGGTCGATCTTGTCCTGCCGGAAGATCTGCTTGGCTGACTTCGCATTGGGCACGCGGGCGCGCTGCTCCTCGGCTGCAGGCTGAGGCGGGAGAGGCACGCCCTCGGCGAGCTCCCGGGCCGCCCCCTCGGCGGACGCGACGGCCTCCGCGTTGATGTACTCCGCGGAGAAGTTACCCCACCCCGTTTGCCCTGTCGAAGTGTTGGTTCTAACTCGATTGCGCTTGTGGCGCCACTCGATATCAGCAACCTGCAGCCGGACTGCGACAGCGAACCACTGCAGCGTCAACTGCCAGCCAGGGCAGGTCAGCAGGTCTGCGCCGGAGACGCCACGTTCTAGGGATGCGTTTTTTTCTATCAAAGGCTAAATCAAGGGCGTGATTCATATCGACGGGGCCCCGAGGGCCCAGCCCGACAGCGAAACCACGACGCAAGAACAATACAACACAAAATCTGAGAAGGAGGGGAGGAGGAGGGAGAGGAGGGGGGGAGAGAGGAGGGAGGAGAGGAGGAGGGGAGAGGGGGAGGGAGGATGAGGAGAGAGGAGGGAGGAGGGGAGAGAGGAGGGAGGAGGGCAGGAGGAGGAGGAGGGGAGCGGGAGGGTAGAGAAGGGAGGAGGGGGTCGGATGAGGAGGAGGGAGGAAGGAGGACTGAAGGGGACAGTGAGGCTGAGGAATTTGGCAACCAAAAGAGCGGTCCTTTAAGCTTCTTGGCGAAGCCAGGCGGCACGCAGCACGGCTGGGCCTTGTCCCAGCGCTCGACGACATCCATCTTGTCATCCTCGGACACCCTGGCGTCGGCAAGAGATACCAATTGCCACGGGAACGACTTCAGCATCAAGACGAACCGCCTGTAGATCGATGCGCTGACCAGGAGCACGAGGCGCCGCAGCAATCTCACCTCGCTCGCTCGAGTCGCCAACCACTGCTGGAAGTCCGTGCACTGGGAAGGCCGCCACAACATAATGAGCCTGCGAGGCTCCCCGGACAGCATCGACGAGAGGTACTGCATGGCGGCGCCAACAACCGAATAGGGACCACAAGTAAGATCCATGAGCGGCCGTTTGCACATCGTGTCGACGTCGCGAGCCCTGCGCATCAACCACGAGGTCATGGCCGACATCGGCTCCAACACCAGCGCCGCGCTGACGATGAGGCCGTGCGTTGCAGGCTGCTCCAAGAAGGCGCGGCCCTTGGCGTACCGGGACCCCGTGACAGCGGCAAACATCAGATCGTGCGCCAACCCTTGATCCATGTCGGCGTCGACCGTCGTGCCAGATTCTAACTGCAGCCGCGCGAATGCTTGCGGCCACACCTTGTGGACGGCGAAGCCTATGACTACCTACCAGACCACCCCAACCCAACCCGAAGACCCGAATTTCGGGTTGGGGGGGGTAAGGGTTCCACATGTGGTTGTTCGATGTTTCCCAAAACCCCCCCCCACTGGAAATCGAGGTTTAATCTGAGCCTTCGGGTTGGGTTGGGGTGGTCTGGTGGGTGGTGAGCCTAACACCAGGACGTCCAGCGCCTGCGCAAGCTTGCCCCACTTGTTCGCAGCTGGCGGCCTCACTGGAGCGGCGAACACGGTGGCGCGGAGCGCCGCGCACAGCCGCTTGACCGTGGCAGCGCGGGAGACGCAGCAGGAATCCCCGCCGCACACATGGTAGATGCGGTCGTGCCACCTGGGACTCCCCTCTCTCTCGCTGGCCCCGCAGGTTCCCCAGCCCTTTCTCGAGTCTATCCTGGCGAGTTTGTTCGAGCTGCGCCCAGCCGCGGCGACGAGAATCACGGGCGCGGGGGGCCGACGAGAGGACGCGCAGGAGCAGGCAGGAGGTGGGGCAGGAGAGGAGAGGATCAAGGGGTGAAGAAAGGGAATCGGGGGACGCGGTAAGAACGAGGAGGGGAACGTGCTGCGGGATGAGAGGGTTGGCGTTCCCCCTCCCCCGCGCCGCCATGGCCCGTTGGCCACCGCGAGGAGCTCCAACAGGCCGCCGATGTGCTTCCGGAGCCCGGCGTGCCTGAGGGTAGCGCGCGCAGCGCTGTCGCTAGAAATAGCGAGCGGGGGAGGAGAAGGGGGTGAGAACAAGTTAGGTGCGCTCGCGTCATATCTGACGTCCAACCTCTCCCTCCCATCCCTTACCATGGCGCTGATTTTCTCTATCCGCGGACGTGTGAGAGGAGGGGGCGGGCCAGGGCCCCGCCCCACCCCCTGCCCCTCCCAGGGCCCAGGGGAAGAGAGGTGAGGGGCGGGGGAGGGTAGAGAGGATGAGAGGGAGGGGAGGGGGCCCCGAGGGATGAGAAAGGGGGCGCAAGGTCATCGGAAGAGGTGGAGGAGCCGCGGGAGCGCAAGTGCGCGGAGAGGAAGGGACGGGGTGGGCGGGAGGGGCATCGTCGGCATCGTGGTCCCAGGGCGCCTGATGGTGCCCAGCCGCGACGGGTCGGCGACGAACGCGGCCACGTCGATGTCGGCGTCGTCGACCTCCGATCCGGCATCCTCCTCATCCTCGTCACGGGCTTGTCGCCGCCGCCGCCGCTCCATCTTCGGCTGCATCAAGCACCTCTGGAAGTTCTTGTAGTGCACCGCGGCAAAGTGGATGACCTGGGGAGGGCCCCGCACCCCTCCCACCAGGTCATCAACGTCGCCGTCGTCCACCCCCCCCCCCCCCGAGCCCCCGAAAAGGGGTGGGAAGGGGGGGAAGAGGTGGACCAGGATGCGGCGGGGAGGCGCCCGAGGGGAAGGTGAGGAGCAAGGCGGGGCGCGAGGGGTCAGGAGGAGGAGGAGGTGGAGGAGGAGGGCGAGATGGGGCGGCGGCGGAGGAGGCGGCGTTCGCCTCATCATCCTCAGTCCCCCGCCCATCCACGGCCGCTGAAAATGACATCGCCCCCCCCATCCTGCTCCAACAATCCTCCCGTTGGTCTCCCCCCATGGGCCTCGCGAGCGTACTCCATCGAGCCCGGGGTCGGGGCGTGGGCGATGACGAGGCGGTCCGAGGCCAGGATGGCGGGGACCCCCTTCACCATCTTTGTGAAGTAGCTGGTCTTGACGAACAGGAGACCTAGAGGAGGAGGAGGAGGAGGAGGAGGAGGCAGAGAGGAGAGGGACATTTATCTTGTGTGTTTTAAGCTTAAGTCAGGAAACGACGACGGCGACGACAGTGACCTATACTGCACAGCCGAGACAGAAGCTGCCCGGCAACCACCGCCAGCAGCACGACCTCGATGAGTCGGGGGCGGAAAAGAGGGGGGTGACGACTAGGGGGGGTGGATATCATGGCGGGGGCCATGATATTTGCCCAGATCTCAGGGCGCCTCTCCTTGTTTCATTACGTCCCTGGCCCCCCCGATGGGCAGCGCACATGCCGCCCGTCATGATTTGCACCCCCCCCTCTTGGACACCCCCCTCTTGGCCGCTCCCGAATGAGCTGCATGCCGTGCAGGCGGCACACGAACCTGCAGTCAAGCACTCCAGATTGGCGCGATGAAGCCACCATGTGGGCCCACAGCCTATCGTTGGCCATAGCAGCATCCGTCTCAACGATGGACAACGCGCGATCGGACAGGTCCTGGATGAGGCGGAGGGCGGCGAAGATCGGCGTGAGCACCTTATGGCGGAAAAGAACAGCGTGAATGTGAGGCGCACTCGGCGATGCCACGACGAGGTTTGGCAAGACGACTGTGTGCTTCACGACCGTGGTGCCGTGCTCGTCGCTGTGCCAGCCGATGTAAATGGTCAGGCGGGCAACCAACACGTGCCACGTCGCGCACTCGTCCGACGTGGTGTCCCCTTGCTTCACTGGTACTGTGATCCGCTCTCCCGTCTCATCGAATGCCAGGCGCGATATGCAGAATGATGGTCGGCGCGCCCGAGCAGCCACTACAATCGCACCAAGCGCCTTGTTCTGGTAGTACATGTAGGCGGCCGCCATCACTTGGCGCATGCACCTGACCCATGGGACGCTGATGTCGTGAACTGCAGCAACGGTCGCCGGGTGAGCGCCCCAGCTGTAAGCCACGTCCAAGATAGCACCATGAGAAAAGAGGCGGCTCGTGACTTCTGGCTTACCTGTGGCGCCGCCGACACGACGTACCATCAATCGCAGGGGGCCATGGCGGCGCGACAAGAAGCTGCGATGAATGGTCATCCGCAGGGCCCACTTCTTCACTCGCGTCTTCAAGACGCGATCCACTGCGAGCACCTCCTCCAACCTCATGCGCTGCAGTCTGACAGCGCGCTTGCGGCACTTGGCATAGCGCATGCAGTATCCTAGTGCACGCCTGTCGCTGAGAGTGCCGTGCCGCCCCCTCCCACAGCGTCTGCTCGGCAACGGACGCTCCACAATTGCATCAGGCGGGGCCACCGCTTGGTCAGCTGGTGCGTCGGGGGGCGATGCTGGGACCACCTGGAGGGCTGCTGGTTCAGGCTCCGAGTCGCTGAATATGTCTCCAAGGTCGGGCGGCCCATCATCGGCCCGGTGGCTTGACGAGCCATCAGAGAAGATGTCGCACAAGCTCATCGATTGCGCCAAAATGGCTGTGAAACGGGAATGGTGGGGGGGAGAAGGTGAGGAGGATGGACATGAAGGAGGCGGAGGAACGAGGCGGAATGATGGGAGAAGGAGGATACTTGGCCGAACGGGGCTATCCTGGACAAGAGTCGCAACCAGAATCTGGCCATACCAAGTTCCGTTGGCCGGGCAACCAAGCGCCACATGGCCTCTAAAGAGGGGTCTGTAAACTCTAAAGGAGTTAGCGTCTAACCCACACCACATCCCGTGCCCAGGCCCTCCCATCCCCCGCCCCTCTCTCTTTCCCCAGCCTCTCATCCCCCTCCCACCACTGCCTCCTCGCCCGTTCCTTCCCCTCCCACCTGGCCCCCATCCCTCCCCTCCAGTCCCGCCTCCTCCTCTCCACTCCCCTCCCCATCCCGCACATCCTTTACGAAACGATGGCGGGGAGGTCCCTTCTCCTTCGCTCCCCCCTGCCCTCGCCTCAACTCCTCTCTCCCATCCCCTTGGACTCGCTCCACTCGTCGCACATCACATCCAATGTCTTCATGTATACCATCGGCCTTTTCCTTTTCCCTCCCCCCGCCCCTCTTCTCCCCTCGTTCCCCTCCCTTACATCCCTCTCCAGCCCACCCTAAGACGAAGGTAGAATCGAGACGATATCAGACCGATATAGATCGGAAATCTCTGAGAATCGGCGGGTTTAGAAGACGCATCGGCCGTTTCGAAGCGTTCTGGAACGCTCTGAAGGCGTTCCGGAACGCTCTGGAACGGATTCATCCCGATTCCAGGCCCGTCCGACACCCGCCCCCTCCCCCCGCCCCTTTCTTGCCCTTCTCCCGAGGCTTCGGAGGGCGAGCAGGGACTAGAGGAGGTGGAGAGGCAGGAGCTGGGCAGCACAGCCTGCCCAGGGCAAGCGCGGCGGGCTCCACGCCAGGGGTAGCAGTGGCACGAGCGCCCCCAGCAGAGCACTTCGAGGCCCGTGCCCGCCACGCCCTGGGCAACGGAAGGGGGAGGAGGAGCAGCTGCAGCAGGAGCGGGGCGCCGATCCCGTCGACCTCAGTGCAGCAAGGGTCGGCAGGCCACACCCAGGGGCGCAGTGCTGCCAGGTTCTCTGGCTGGGCTGCTGCGCTGAGCGGTTTGTGATGTCGTTGGCTTCGCGCTGCTTGTCCCTCCAGTCCTCCTCCTCCTCCTCCTCCTCCTCCTCCTCCTCCTCCTCCTCCCTCCTCCTCCTCCTCTTCTTCCTCCTCCTCCTCCTCCTCCTCCTCCTCCTCCCCCTCCTCCCCCTCCTCCTCCTCCTCCTCCTCCTCCTCCTCCTCCTCCTCCTCCTCCTCCTCCTGCTCCTCCTCCTCCTCCTATTGTACTGTTCAGCAGGCGCACTGGCTGTGAGCGCTTGAATTCAGATTTTTCCCGCCTACGCGCCGGACGGCGTATGGTTTCGTGCTCGTGCTCGTGCTCGTGTCCCTCCAGTCCAGCCCTGCCCCGTTGTTTGTGACAACTGGGCGAGGCCGCGACGTCACAAAACAACATCGGAAGGGGTCAGTCTGCCCCACCCTGCCGCTCAAGGCTGCCCCAGGATGCCTGCCTGCCCAGGGGGGCGCCACTAGAGGACGGCCCCAGAATGTTAGACAGGGCGCTCCCACAACAGTGTCCTGGCCTACCCACGTATCGCCCACTTGCGACACTTGCGACCCTTTGACACCTTGTGGTCCTGCTGGCCCTGGCACCCTTCAAAACCTCGCTGGCCACTGGTGATCATTGTGGCCCTCATTCTCTAGAAGTTTTGGGAAACCGTGGGACACTTGTGACCCTGTTGACGCATTGTGGCCTGTGCGGCCATGGTACTCTGCCAACCTCGGTGACAACCGGTCTTCATTGCGACCATTGGTGCTCCGTGCGGTCAACAAGACGTCGAGAAGGCCCACTAATGTCTGGTCATAGGCAGAGTATGGATCGGCATGCGAGGTCAGCGGCAGAGGGCTCAGTCCTTCAGCAAACTCGGATGAGCGGGAAAAGCCATCGGCTGCGAGAAATTGATACGAGACTCGCCCGAACTGCCCAGAGCAAGTGCGAAGTCGAACTGCGCTCTCGTCGCGTACAAAATGACACAGCCGCGTTGATGGCATCTTTTCCTTTCAGAATTGTACTAAGGCGACGGCCAGGAGAAGAGACGATCAGCTGCCTGCGGGGGGAAAGCGGGAGAGGGAGGTAGCGGACCTGGCTGGTCCCTTGGGCTCCAGAAATGCATCGACGGCCGATCGCATTGACAGCAAATGGGGGATCGACCAGAACAGCCAAGAGCGATCAATGGCCGATCGATAATCTCTTGCTGCCCCGATCGAGCTCGATAGGTGGGCAGTCTGTCCGACGAAGGGAAGCATCGGGGAATGCGAATGGGGATGCCTGGCTCCCTCAGTTAAGTCAATCGGAGCAGAGGCGAGGCGATCGATCAGATCGCACAGTAGGCTGCGAAACGTGGCTTCCTTGCATCTGCTCAACCGAGGCGGACTGCTTCGCCCTGCCTCGGAGGATGTCGACACCGTGCTTGAGGCCATTTTGTGCTGTCTTACAATGCACGCGTGACCAAGCTACAACCACAATTAACTCCTCCCTCCCCCTCCTCATCCACCTCCCTCCCCCCCTTTGCCTCAATCTACCTCATTACCCTCTTCCTTCTCCTCCTCAGTCCCACTCCTCCTCCTCCTCCACTTCAGTCCTCCTCCTCCTCCTCCTCCTCCTCCTCCTCCTCCTCCTCCTCCTCCTCCCCCCCTCCCCTCCCCTCCCCCTCCTCCTCCTCCTCCTCCTCCTCCTCCTCCTCCTCCTCCTCCTCCTCCTCCTCCTCCTCCTCCTCCTCCTCCTCCTCATTCCTCCCATCTGCCGTGCCGATGAGAAACCACCTGCCCCGGCCAGGCAGGCTCGCTCTCGACCACCTCCGCCGTGCTAAAGGGGCCTCGTCGGCCTCGTGCCGCACCCGCCCGAGCGAGGCCGAGTGGGCAGCCTCGCCCGTCTCGAACGACTCCTCCTCCTCCTCCTCCTCCTCCTCCTCCTCCTCCTCCTCCTCCTCCTCCTCCTCGCCCGTCTCGAGCGACTCCTACAGTCGGGGCCTTGACCTAAGGAACCCTAAATAAGGAACGAGGCCCCTTTTGTCCACAAGTTAAACTTCGATCTCCTGTCGAAAACCTAAGGAAAGCCTGAGGCGAGCTGCGAAACACGTGAGGAACGCGGAGCCCCTCCCCAACGAAAAGGGTTCCTTCTTCAGGGCCCCGACGGTGTGCCCCCGCCTCGTCGGCTGCACGGACGAACCCTGCATTGGTGTGGGACACCTCGGTGGCAGGGCTGAACCTGAACGGTGTTCTTCTCTTTCGCTTCGTTGCCGTTTTCCCTCGTCTTGTCCTCAATCCGCCTTCACCGCAAGACGAAGTCAAAACGAAAACGGCCCACGAAATCGCCAAAACACCGTTTAGGTCCAGCCCTGCTTGTTTGCATTGGCCTCGACATTTGCCTCAGGGACGTGAATCGAGCCGAATGACTTCGCTGACCTGACCTCGACAGCTGGGTCGGCAGACCCGGTATGGTGTCGCATGGTTGCTCGACTGTATCCTTAGCAACTCATTAGAGGCCTCCGAGATGGGGTCCGAGTAGATGGGGTCAGGGGATCGCGCCGCGATACATCGCCGATGCATGGGCGATGCATCGGCGACGTCTGCGATGCATCGGCGCCATCGGCGTGGAGAAAATCGGGCTCCACATCGAGCTGCATCGCCGATGCATCGGCGATGCGGCGCGATCGTCCGACCCCATCTACTCGGACCCCATCTGAGAAGGCTAGACTCATCCCCCTCCTCCTCGTGGGAGATTGGCACCTCGCATCCCCTTCTTCGGGCTCTCCGTCCGACCTGTCATCGGCTGCCTTGAAGCTGTCTGTGCCTGCCAGCGTCGACTGAATCTTGGCAGTGGAAGTGTCGGAAGGGCTACCACGCCAGGACTAGGCATCAGAAGTCCCTATACAAACCCTGGCCGCCTCGAAACGTCTCTCGCGCTGCATGCGTTCACATATACACGTGCGCGCATGCGTATATAGTTCCCAATAAATATATATATATATATATATGTATATATGTATATATATAATGTCGAATCCTACACATATGTATACACGTATGCGTGTGCACGCATATATCCATGCGGTCATCACTGCCCGTCCCTCTCATCTCTTCTCCAATCTTCCCTCCCCTGCATTGAATAGCATCCCATCCTACCCCTGCTCACGATGCTTCTGACAGTTCGTCACCCTGCCTTCGTCATCGCTCTACCCCGCCTTTCCCGCCCACCAGGAGAAGTGAGGGCCGTGCTGCCAGCCGACTCATTGCACGATGGTTGCTCTGCCGATTACAAGGGGTGGGGGAGGAGAAGGGGAGGAGGAGGAATAAGAGAAAAGCAAGTAGTAAGGGCATATGGGGAAAGGAAAAACCAACGAATGACAGAGGAGGCTGATCGGCTGCGCTTGAAGCCAGAGAGGGCCACGACGCGTGGAAAGAACTCAGCGCAAAAGCCGCCAGACGACGTGAAAACGCGGGAGACAACTGGCCAGGCTGTCAAGAGCTTCGAGAACTCTATGAGACCATGAAGAACGAGGAAAAGAAGAAGGAGGAAGAGGAAAGACAGGGGGGGGGCTAGAAGCCGTCGGGAAGTCGCTGAGGGCATGTGAACGCTGCTTACTTGTTTTGTTGACCAACTGTCTGTCTGGCACGTCCGCACACCTCTCCGCAATATCAAACCGCCCCACCACACCCAGCCTGGCAAACGGGGCATCTCCACTCGCTGCACTGCTCAAGTCCCTCCAGCTCCACGAAGCGCTCAATGCATCGAACGTGGAAAGCTCGAGGGCACCTGGGCTGAAGAACCGCACGAGAATAGCTGCACTGGAGCACATTTCCACCTCGACCAGCCGCAAAATTGTTCTCCCATTTCTCGTCTTCCCTCGAAGATTCCACCTGCAGACGTTCACCTTATCTTCCAATTTCTCCGCCTTCTCATCCTACTCCTGCTCACCATCATCCTTCCAGAAACCATCCTCATTGCCCATCACCAAAATAATGATAACCAGCAGCATCATCAACATCAGCATCGTCATGTTCGTCGTCGTCATCATCGTCGTCATCCTCACAATCGTCATAATCATCATTGTCGTCGACATCCTCGCCAGAGTGGTTACAAGTGGCACGTGTGTGCCCAGGCTCATACAAAAAACTGAAGGGGCGTTTGAAGCAGAAGTGAAATGCAACAGCGAAGTCGCACTCGAGCGCAAGCGGGGTTGCCACACCTTGCGATGTGTGTACCAGGGCCCCCCAGGAAGCCTCTGGAGACACGACTTGGATACCAGAAGAGGCTCCAGGAGGCCCCAGGATTGTGAGTGTTGTGTGGGTGTGTGTGTGTGTGTGATGTGTGCTCTGTGGTGTGCGTGCTTTTTGTGCGTTGTAGGTGTTGTGTATGTGTGTTTTGTTTGTCTAGTGTGTGATGTGTTGGGCGTGATGTGTGTCTCTGTGAGTGCATGTAGTTCTGAGGCCCCAGGAGGCCCCAGGAGGCCCCAGGCGGCCTCGGGAGGCCCCAGGAGACACCAGGAGGCTTCAGGAGGCCCCAAGAGGCTCCAGGAGGCCGCAGGAGGCCCCAGGAGGCCCCAGGAGGTTTCAGGAGACCCCCAGGAGGCTCCGAGGCGGGGTCTGGGGTACCAGAAGGTTCAGAAAGCCCCAGGAGGCCCCAGGAGGTTCCAGGAGGCCCCCAAGAGGCTCCGAGGCGGGGTCTGGGGTACCAGAGGGTACGTCGCGGCTCGATGTTGGGAGGATGTTTCAGGCGAAACCGCCATTCTCTGAGAATCGGGGTCAACATTGTTGAAATTATCATGTGTTTTTTCCCAACCATCCTGTGGTGTTGGGTCCTCGTTTTGAAGAGACGGCGCCCCGCGTTCCTCACCTCCTCCTCCTCCCCCCCCTCCCTCCTCCCATCATCATCATCATCATCATCATCATCATCATCATCATCATCATCATCATCATCATCATCATCATCATCATCATCATCATCATCATCATCATCATCATCATCATCATCATCATCATCATCATCATCATCATCATCATCATCATCATCATCATCATCATCATCATCATCATCATCATCATCATCATCATCATCATCATCATCATCATCATCATCATCATCATCATCATCATCAGCATCATCATCATCATCATCATCATCACAATCATCATCATATCATCATAATCATCATCAGCATCATCATCAATCATCATCATCATCATCATCATCAGCATCATCATCATCATCATCATCATTCATCAAGCAAATCATCATCCTCATATCATCAATCATCAGCATCATCCATCATCATCAGCATCATCATCATCATCATCATCACAATCATCATCAGCATCAGCATCATCATCATCATCGTCGTCGTCGTCAACGTCATCATCATCATCATAATCATCATCATCCTCATCCTCAATCAGCATCATCATCATCATCATCGCATCATCTCATCATCAGCAGCAATCATCATCATCACCACCACCACCACCACCATCATCATCATCATCATCAATCATCATCATCATCATCAGCAGCAGCAGCATCAGCATCAGCATCATCATCATCATCATCATCATCATCATCATCATCATCATCAGCATCATCATCATCAATCGTCATCATCAATCACCACCATCATCATCAGCAGCAGCATCCTCAGCAGCATCATCATCATCATCATCATCATCATCATCATCATCATCATCATCATCATCATCATCATCATCATCATCATCATCATCATCATCACCACCGATTTCGGCACACCCCTCACACGTTTCGTGGCCCCATAGGGAGCTCCACCGAAGGCCCCAGTGGCAGGGTCCGCATGCCTCCCCACCACCCATTTCGGCACACCCCTCACACGCTTCGTGGCCCCATAGGGAGCTCCACCGAAGGCCCCACGGCTGCCGTCCGAATGCGTCCCGCACACCCATTTCGGCACAACCCTCACACGTTTCGTGGCCCCACAGGGAGCTCCACCGAAGGCCCCAGTGCTGCCGTCCGCATGCGTCCCGCACACCCATTTCGGCACACCCCTCACACGTTTCGTGGCCCCATAGGGAGCTCCACCGAAGGCCCCAGTGGCAGGGACCGCATGCCTCCCCACCACCCATTTCGGCACACCCCTCACACGCTTCGTGGCCCCATAGGGAGCTCCACCGAAGGCCCCAGTGGCAGGGGTCCCGACATGCCTCCCCACCACATCTTTGGCCACCGCTCACCACATGACGTGCCATAGGGACTCACCGCGAGGCCCCAGTGGCTGCGTTCGGCATGCCTCCCACCACCCATTCGCACAGCACCCCTCAAACGCTTCGTGGCCCCATAGGGAGCTCCACCGAAGGCCCCAGTGGCAGGGTTCGCATGCCTCCCCACCACCCATTTCGGCACACCCCTCACACGTTTCGTGGCCCCATAGGGAGCTCCACCGAAGGCCCCAGTGGCAGGGTTCGCATGCCTCCCCACCACCAATTTCGGCACACCCCTCACACGTTTCGTGGCCCCATAGGGAGCTCCACCGAAGGCCCCAGTGGCTGCGTTCGCATGCCTCCCCACCACCCATTTCGGCACACCCCTCACACGTTTCGTGGCCCCATAGGGAGCTCCACCGAAGGCCCCAGTGGCTGCGTTCGCATGCCTCCCCACCACCCATTTCGGCACACCCCTCACACGTTTCGTGGCCCCATAGGGAGCTCCACCGAAGGCCCCAGTGGCAGGGTCCGCATGCCTCCCCACCACCCATTTCGGCACACCCCTCACACGTTTCGTGGCCCCATAGGGAGCTCCACCGAAGGCCCCAGTGGCAGGGTTCGCATGCCTCCCCAACACCCATTTCGGCACATCCCTCACACGTTTCGTGGCCCCATGGGGATTTCCACTGAAGGCCCCAGTGACTGGGTTCGCATGCGCCCCCACACCCATTTCGGCACACCCCTCACACGTTTCGTGGCACCATAGGGAGCTCCACCGAAGGCCCCAGTGGCTGCGTTCGCATGCCGCCCCCACACCAATTTCGGCACACCCCTCACACGTTTCGTGGCCCCACAGGGAGCTCCACCGAAGGCCCCAGTGGCTGCGTTCGCATGCCGCCCCCACACCAACTTCGGTGCACCCCTCACACGTTTCGTGGCCCCATAAGGAGCTCCACCGAAGGCCCCAGTGGCAACGTTCGCATGCCGCCCCCACACCCATTTCGGCACACCTCTCAAACGGTTCGTGGCCCCATAGGGAGATCCACCGAAGACGGTACTCACACCAGCATTACTCACAACTGCATATGGTTGGGTCCTTCGCCAGGCTAATTGAAGGTTTTATGTTAAAATGTTGAAATTCCCATGTGCTTTTGGACCCTGACGTCACGATCTGCGTGAGGGGTGCCACCGATTTTCAGAATTTCGAGGATGTCCCTAGCGAAACGGCCAGACAAATCGCGGACGCGGCGCCCCGCGTACGCATTAATCGGCTCTGAGCTCCACTCCCTCGGAGAAGTGCGTATGAGAACACTCCTCTATCCCGCGCCACCTCCCCCTGTAAAATTAACCGTAAACTTCCAGCTTCATGCAGTCGGCTGGCCAACTCAATCCCAGCATGATTCCCAACAACTTGAGAACGACCAAACACGTTCTTCTCAACCATCTGGTGATACCGGATCTCGTTCCTTTGGCATTGTGCCCTCCACATCCCCTCATTAAGCCTCCCATCTCCTCTCCCCTCCTCATCCTCAGATCCTGCATCTTCTTATTATTCATGATCATCATCATCTGCAGCATCAGCATAATCATCAGCATCATCATCCTCATCATCATCAGCATCGTCATCATCATCATCATCATCATCATCATCATCAGCAGCAGCATCAGCATCAGCATCATCATCAGCATCAGCATCAGCAGCATCAGCATCATCATCATCATAATCATCAGCAGCAGCAGCATCATCATCATCATCAGCATCGTCACCGTCATCGCCAGCAGCATCAGTATCATCAGCATCATCATAATCGTCATCATCAGCAGCAGCAAGAAGCAGCAGCATCACCATCACCGCCATCGTCATCGTCGTCATCATCATGATGATCCTGTTCAGCATCACCATCATCACACCTCCAAACGATCCTCCTCATCCTCCTGTTAAGTTGCCTCCTCGTCCTCACACGCCTACTCCAATGCTACCCAACCATCATCCGCCTCATCCTCCTCCTCATCATAATCATCATCAACATCCTTCTCAGCACTATCGTTATCCAAACTATGTACCCTCCTCATCCTCCCTTTCATCTGCCTCCTCGTCCTCACCCACCTACTCAAACGTTTCGCAAACCTTGTGTTCCTCCTCCTCCACCTAATCATCAGCATCATCAGCATCAGCATCATCAACATAAGCAGCAGCATCAGCATCATCCTCATCCTCATCCTCATCCTCATCATCGCCATCATCATCATCATCAGCATCATCAGGATCATCAGCAGCAGCATCATCATATCATCATCATGTTCATCGTCTCGTCCTGCTCGGCATCTCATCCAGCTCAGCATCATGAGCGCCATCCTTTCGATTAGTCCTCATCGTTTCCTTTTGCCTCCTCGCCCTTACATGCCTGCTCCAATGGCTCCCGGACCTTGTGTTCCTCCAACCACTGCCCCAACCTGCCCCTCTTCCTCATCCACCACCACTGGCCATCGCTCGGACGTCCATTCCATGTTTTCTCCCAACCCTCCTTGGTTGGGTATTCGTTTTGAATAGAGCAGTGTGGTCTCCACTCCTTCCTCCTCCTCCTCCTTCCTCCCTCCCTGCCTCTTCCTGCCTTGCCTGCGGGGGGCTGCGATCTGTGAAACTGTCGCCATGTTCGAGGCCTGCTGGGGGGCCCAGCACAGTGAGGGCCACACGCGGATTCAAATTAGACCTCGCCATCCCTGGGGGGCTGCGATCTGTGAACCAGCACAGTGAGGGCCACACGCGGATTCAAATTAGACCTCGCCATCCCTGGGGGGCTGCGATCTGTGAAACTGTCGCCATTTTCGGGGCCTGCTGGGGGGCCCAGCACAGTGAGGGCCACACGCGGATTCAAATTAGACCTCGCCATCCCTGGGGGGCTGCGATCTGTGAAACTGTCGCCATTTTCGAGGCCTGCTGGGGGGCCCAGCACAGTGAGGGCCACGGCGGATTCAAATTAGACCTCGCCATCCCTGGGGGGCTGCGATCTGCGAAACTGTCGCCATTTCGAGGCCTGCTGGGGGGCCCAGCACAGTGAGGGCCACGCGCGGATCAAATTAGACCTCGCCATCCCTGGGGGGCTGCGATCTGTGAAACTGTCGCCATTTTCGAGGCCTGCTGGGGGGCCCAGCACAGTGAGGGCCACGCGCAGATTCAAATTAGACCTCGCCATCCCTGGGGGGCTGCGATCTGTGAAACTGTCGCCACTTTCGAGGCCTGCTGGGGGGCCCAGCACAGTGAGGGCCACGCGCGGATTCAAATTAGACCTCGCCATCCCTGGGGGGCTGCGATCTGTGAAACTGTCGCCACTTTCGAGGCCTGCTGGGGGGCCCAGCACAGTGAGGGCCACGGGCGGATTCAAATTAGACCTCGCCATCCCTGGGGGGCTGCGATCTGTGAAACTGTCGCCACTTTCGAGGCCTGCTGGGGGGCCCAGCACAGTGACGCCACGCGCGGACCCAAATTAGACCTCGCCATCCCTGGGGGGCTGCGATCTGTGAAACTGTCGCCATTTTCGAGGCCTGCTGGGGGGCCCAGCACAGTGACGCCACACGCAGATTCAAATTAGACTTCGCCATCCCTGGGGGGCTGCGATCTGCGAAACTGTCGCCACGTTCAGGGCCTGCTGGGGGGCCCAGCACACTGACGCCACGCGCGGACCCAAATTAGACCTCGCCATCCTTGGGGGGCTGCGATCTGTGAAGCTGTCGCCATGTTCGAGGCCTGCTGGGGGGGCCAGCACAGTGACACCACGCGCGGACCCAGCACAGTGACGCCACGCGCGGATTCAAATTAGACCTCGCCATCCCTGCGGGGCTGCGATCTGTGAAACTGTCGTCACTTTCGAGGCCTGCTGTGATCCCCGTTTTCGAAGTGGCTAGGAGTGCTCAGGAATTGTAACTATCAGCCTTATCAAGCCCTTTTCCTGTAGCCAGTGTCCTGCGAGTCTCCCGAATTCCGTCTGCAGACATATGTAACCCTCGCTCCGTCATCGCCCCCTTATAAAGTATCCTAAACTATTTGCGCCCCGCTTTTGCGCAGGGGTTAGGTACGTCGCCAGGGTAATTTTGGTTTCGTGCGTGGTTTTTTCCGCCAAATGATCAAGGATGCTCCTCGATCGCCCTCGCCGAGAAAAAATGCACACGTCCGAGCGATGCCAGGACCAACATCACTAGCCTGTCGAGGGGTCGTCGTCCTCCTCGGTGGGAGGCAGCCTCGGCGTCCCCAGAGTGGGGAGACTGAGGAGGAGGAGGGGGAGGAGAAAGGAGGAGGAGGAGGAGGAGGAGGCGGAGGGGGAGGAAGAGGGGGAGGTAGAGGAGGTAGAGGAGATTGAGGTCGAAGAGGGACAGGTTCGTCATGATTCACGATCGGCCAGGGAGGCTACCTGTCGCACAGCAGCAGCCTGCCGCCAGTCTGGCACACCTCGCAGAAGTCGTTCTTGAGATCGTTCGGGTCGAGCGGGTGAGAGGCCGCCTCGGGCGCGCCTCCAGTGGACCTGGCGGGCTACGGGAAGAGATGGATAAGGAGAACGAGGAGGGAGACGAGAGAGGAGAGGATGCGGAGGGGGAGGGGGAGGGGGGAGGGGGATGAGGAGCAGCAGCAAGAAGACGAGGACGAGCACGACAACGAGAAGGGAGGAAAGCGAGACTTGTGCTCGGCTTGGCGCGTCGCGCGATGCGACTCCGCGCTGGAGAAAAGCCAGATGAGAAGAATAACTTTTGCAAATATTGGACGGGGTCGGGTCCCAAGACGGGCCAAGAGGGCACCAACTCGGCCGAATTGGCCCTGAGGCGGCCCGAGATGCCTTCAAGGAGGTCTGGGCCCAAGATGGGGCAGTCCACGGGTCCCCGAAACCTACTAAAACAGGGCTAGGATCGGGATAAATCGCTCCAGAGCGTTCTGGAGCGCTCTGAGAGCGTTCCGGAACGCTCTGGAGCGGCCGCGGCGCCCAATACATCCTCCAAACCCGCCGATTCTCAGAGATTTCGAGTTATCCCGATCCGATTTTGTCCCGATCTTCGCGTCGTTTTACCTACCTACCCGAGAGAATCCCCCAAACCCTGAAGGTATCCCCAAGAGGGACCCAAAAGCGGCCCCCGCGACGGCCCACCGGGAGCCCAGGGAGCACCAGGAGGGCCCCCGGAAGAGCTCCAGACGGACAAGATATGGCCCAAAAGTAGGGGGCCACATGCGAACCCTACCCCTACCCCCCACGATTTCTGCGGGGGAGGGTGGGGTTCACTTCGTTCGGGAGCTCTCGCGAACGAAGTGAACCCCACCCTCCCCCTCAGAAGTCGTGGGGGGTAGGGGTAGGGTTCGCATGTGGCCCCCGATTCGAGGAGACCCCAGACGCACATACTGGACACATTCCGGACATGCACCCCGCGACGGGAGAGGAATCCGCGTCCGGAAGCGAAAAAAAAACAGGAAGCCCAAACGCACATCCGCCACCGTGCCTGCGCGGAGTGTGCGTGTCAGAATGCTCCTGTGGTCCCTCTAGGAGTGCTTTTTGTTTTTTTAAGTTTCTAGTGCAGGCCCTCCCCCGGTTCGAACGCGGGAATAAAAAATCGTCCCCCCTGAAATTGCTCCCTGGCGCTCTCTTCGGCCTCCAGACGGCCAAGATGGCCTCCAAAAAGGCTTCCAAGACAGCCAGGACGACAACAAAACGGATCAAGATGGGCCAAGACAGATCAAGAGCCTCTCACGAGAGCCTCAAGACGGCTCAAGAAAGCCCGAGAGGGCCTCAAGACGGCCCAAGCGTCTCCCAAGACGGCCAGCGAGAGCTCCAAGAGGCATTCCTGGAGAGCCCGAGGGGGTCGAAACCATTGATTTTTCCCTGCGGTGTTTAAAGGTTGTGAGGTCCTCGCCTGTTAAGGATTCCGATCACACAAGACGGCCCAACAGGCTTCCAAGAGACCTCCAAGATAGCTCCAAGACAACCCAAGAGGCATGCAAGAGGGACACAAGTCGGCCCAAAAGGACCCAAAGATCGCCCAAGGAGCTCCCAAAGAGGGCCCCAAGACGGCCCTGAAGCGCTCCAAGAGAGCAACGAGACGGCCCATAGAGGCCTCTTCGGCTGTCTTGGGCGGTCCGAAACCCAAACATGCCAGGCCCTCAAACCCTGCAAATCACCTCAGGATATCAACAGTTCGGACCTTCTCGGCCTCTCTGGGAGGACCTCTTGGGGACCTCCTGGGCCGTATTAAGGGGGCTGCTCGATCTGTCGTGAGGCCTTCTTGGGAGCCTCATGGCCCCCAGGACGGCTTTCAAGGCAGCCGAGATAACGCCAAGATGGCCCAAGACGGCTCCAAAGACTCCCAAGACAGCCTGAAGACAGATCAAGAAGCCCCCAAGACGGCCCAAGAGGTCTCCAAGGGGTCCTCCTGGGGAGACCGAGGAGGCCAAACCATTGATTTCCATGTGTACATCCTGTTCGGGTTTCCCACCGCCCAAGACGGCCCAAGAGGCCTCAAAAAGGTTTCCGAGATAGCTCCAGGGCAGCGAGCGCAACAGGCTCCCAAGACCCAAGAGTGCCCAAGTCGGCCCAAAAGGATCCAAAAACCGCCCAAGGGGCTCCCAAGATGGCCCCAAGACGACCGCGAGCCGCTCCAAGAGGGCACCAACGCGGCCCAGAGAGGGCCCTAAAGCGGCCTCCATAGGCGCCAGACGCGCCAAGTCCCCCAAGACAACCCAAGAGGCCCCACGAGGCCCCCAGGAGGCCCCGGGAGGCCCCGAAGAACCTTTCAGGAAGCTGCCAGGAGGCCCCCAGGGAGCCTTAAAAAGGCCCCAAGAATCCGTCTCCCTCCTTCTCCCTCCTCCTCCTTCTCCTCCACATCCTCCTCCTCCTCGTCCTCCTCCTCGTCCTCCTCCTCCTCCTCCTCCGCCTCCTCCTCCTCCTCTTCCTCCTCCTCCCTCCTCCTTCCTCCTCCTCCTCCTCCTCCTCCTCCTCCTCCTTCTCCTCCTCCTCCTGCTCCTCCTCCTCCTCCTCCTCCTCCTCCTCCCCCTCCTCCTCCTCCTCCTCCTCCTCCTCCTCCTCCTCCTCCTCTTCCTCCTCCTCGTCCTCCTCCTCCTCCTCCTCCTCATCCTCATCCGCTGCATCCCTCCCTCCCTTCCTACTCCTCCTCCTCCTCCTCCTCTTTCCTCCTCCTCCGCCTCCCCTCCTCCGCCTCCTCCTCCTCCCCGCCTCCTCTCTCCTCATCACCCCTCTTCCTCCTCCTCCTCCTCCTCCTCCTCCTCCTCCTCCTCCTCCTCCTCCTTGTCCTCCTCCTCCTCCTCTCCTCCTCCTCTTCCTCCTCCTCCTCCTCCTCCTCTCCCTCCTCCGTATCATCATCATAATCCTCAGCATCAGCATCATCACAGCAGCATCAACATCGGCATATCATCACATCATCAGCAGCATCAGCATCACTCAGCATCAGCATCAGCATCAGCATCAGCATCAGCATCAGCATCAGCATTCATCATCATCATCATCATCATCATCATCATCATATCATCATCATCATCATCACATCATCATCATCATCATCATCAGCATCATCATTCGTCATCATCATCATCATCATCATCATCATCATCATCATCATCATCATCATCACCACCATCACCAGCATCATCAGCATCATCATCATCATCACCATCAGCATCATCATCATCATCATCAGTATCATCAGCATCAGCATCAGCATCATCATCATCAGCATCATCATCATCATCAGCATCGTCATCGTCAGCATCATCATCATCATCATCATCATCATCATCAGCATCATCATCAGCAGCATCATCATCATCGTCATCATCACCAACATCATCATCATCATCATCATCAGCATCAGCATCATCATCATCATCAGCAGCAGCATCATCATCATCATCATCAGCATCAGCATCAGCAGCAGCATCATCATCATCAGCAGCAGAATGATCATCATCATCATCATCATCATCATCATCATCATCATCATCATAATCATCAGCATCATCATCATCAGCGTCGTCGCCATCATCATCCCCGTCATCATCATCATCATCAGCAGCAGCATCAGCATCAGCATCAGCATCAGCATCATCATCAGCATCAGCATCATCATCATCATCAGCATCATCATCATCATAAGCAGCATCATCAGCAGCATAATCATCATCGTCATCAGCATCATCATCATCATCATCAGCATCATCATCATTATCAGCATCGTCATCATCATCATCAGCATCAGCATCATGAGCATCATCATCATCAGCACCGCCATCGTCAGCGTCGTCGTCAGCATCATCAGCATCATCATCATCATCATCACCAGCATCATCATCAGCATCACCATCATCAGCGTCGTCATCATCATCATCAGCATCATCATAAGCATCATCGTCATCATCATCGGCATCATCATCAGCATCGGTATCATCATCAACAGCATCATCATCAGCACCATCATCCGCAGCATCAGCATCAGCATCGTCATCATAACCATCATCATCAGCATCATCATCAGCATCATCAGCATCATCAGCAGCATCATGAGCATCACCATCATCAGCATCAGCAACAGCACCATCATCATCATCTTCATCGTCATCGTCATCGTCATCGTCATCATCATCGTCATTATCATCATCAGCATCATCAGCATCATCTGCATCATCAGCGTCATCATCCTCATCATCATCCTCATCCGCATCATCATCCTCACCATCAACCTCCTCCTCCTCATCATCCTCCTCATTCTCCTCATCCTCCTCCTCCGTCGCCTCCGCCTCCGCTTCCGCCTCTGGCTCCGCCTCCTCCTCCTCCTCCTGCTCCGCTTCCTCCTCCGCCTCCTCCTCCGCCTCCTCCTCCTCCCTACCGCGCGGACGAAGACGAGGTCAGGATCACGACCCGCCCCAATGCAGACTACTCGTTGGAATTGCGCGGTTCCTATACTGAGCCTCCTTCCTGCTGCGCTGTTGCACAGGCACTGTGGAAGGGTTTGCCGCAGGCAGCTGGATACTTGACACATTCCCGACATGCACCCCGCGAAGCGAACGGAATCCACCTCTGGAAGCGAAGCGAAGTGACGTGCTGACCAGCATCTGTTTTCTGCTTCAGCGGCTAATGAGTTGAATCCCGTGCTTCCAAGCATCCAAATTTCTTCATGCTAGATAAAGTGTATGGTGTAACTTTTGCTTCCCCTCATCGCCACTCTCCTCACCTCCTATCCTGTCGTGTCCGTCTCGTCTCCCCTGTACTCTCCCCCTCCTGTGGGAGGTGGGTACAAGGGAGAGAAGAGTGATAGACTGAAGGGCATAGTCAACTAAAAATCACCTCCCAGCCACCTCCCCTTCCCTGCATCCTCCTTCCTGTTCTCTTGCCTGGCGCCTGAAGGCAAACCTTCAGAACTGCCTCAGGATCCAGGAGGTTGTTCTGACCGCTGGCAGGGGAGGGAGTGTGCAACGGGGGAGGGGGCGAGAAGGAGAACGACGGGGAAAGAAGGAGAGAGAGGGAGAGGAGGAAGAGGAGGGGAAGGAGGAAGAGGAGAAAGAGAGAGAGGGAGAGGGAGACAAGGAGAGAGAAGGGGAAGGAGAGGGAGGGGGAGAGGGAGAGGAGGGAAGGAGGAGCCGCAGCAACAGCAGCAGGAGGCCCCTGCCCGTCGCCCCGGTGGGACCCGCCGCAGTCGCTGGGCCCTGCAGCCGGCGCCTCCGCGTGGACAACAGC